ATTATGCATGGGTGTGCTGCAAACAAAGTGAACTCCAATCAGATCCATACCCCCCCAAAAAGGGGCTGGGTTTTTCAAACAAGTGGCAAATGAAATACCCCTTTTAAAAGTCCTGGTTCTACATCAATGACTGGCATATAACTGCACATTTAAGCGTTAAAATAAACACTCCGGGGGTCACCAAGTCTTTAAGGGATTACTGCTGCTGGACAAGAGCATCTTCTCTCCGGGGCTCAGTGCCTGAAACTGTGCTAGAGTCTGACACACACACAGGTGCCAGGACACTGAGCTCGCCTCAAGGAACGAACGAAGAAACAGTTTTGTCTGGGCAATGACATCAGTCAGCCCGAGGCTACCCAGTAAATGCTTAGCAAGGGGGTGGACGGAGGTTGTCCATTTGCTTTCCTCAAAGGTTCACTCCACTTTGGTTCAATTTTAGCTTCAGTGATCTTTCCGTGTAAGGGGTTTGTTCCTTGTGAGATAAAACAAGTGGACGCCTCTAGCACAGGATCTGATATACAGGAGGTGCCAATAAATAAATGTCTGTTGGTTTCAAATTTAAATCTTTTTTGATCAAACCCTCACATATATACACATTCACATTATATAGCCTGGCTTCAAATGTCCTGTTTTCAAGTGGACATGTCCTGCTGTGGCCCTGCTGTACAGCCAATGCCTCTGGGACTGGTCTCCTGACTTCCTAACCTTCCTTGGGGGTGAAATTCTAATTTCAGTACCTAAATAATAAATGGGCCAAGTGGGCCACAGGCCTCTTCTTAGAGGCTACCGATTTGGCACTTCAGCTTCCCTGTAATCACAGACAAGGGAGACAGATCATCTGTTTCCTATTCTTACTGAGAGGAATTTATACTCCAGCTCCTTCCTCAGAAGGATCCATGTTTTCCTGAACAATTTCTCCTGGGACTTTACTTCGATTGAAAGGCTCATGGGATGGGAAGTAGGTGGTCACGTGTAGTGTGTTAAGATATTTCCTCGTTTTCCTCCTAAATCTGTTGAGTTTGAGTTAGGATCCAGCAGCCAACCCTACAGGTAACACCGGTAAGGTTTGGACCTTATTTTTAAAAAGTTTGCTAATAGCACTTTCTTAAATGTTATACTTGTTGAATGACCAATTATATATTTGAATTCACAAAAGAACAAAGTACGATGATCCAGTTTTTAAAAGCAATTGTTTCTTTTGTAGGATTAATTCATTAGGCAATTAAAAGAGCAAGAAAACATCAACTTAATAACAAAGAATGTAGAAGACAGCTGTATCGCCTAAATTTTAAATTTTCTCATATTTCTCAGCGAAGCAATATATTCATCTCTTAAATCTTTGTTTCATACTAAAACAGTTAAAAACTAAATACACATATGGTTATTCTATAAAAGTAATCATGTGTGTGTTAAAATTCTCCAGGAACATTTACTCTTTTGGTTAAAAGATATTTAAACATCTGTTGTGTTTGGTGGTAAAAATATCCCTCACACACGATTAATGTTTTGAAGAGGAGATGGTTCATTTCCCAATGACGCCACGAGTATCTGCTTCCATTAGTTTTAGAAAATGACTAGTTTTCTTATGTAGTTCTAAAATTAATGTAGAAAGTAAAAACAAACAACAACTTTAAAAATGTCCTAGTGTGGACCAACAGGCTAACACGGCTTCAGTACTGCACGTCTTCATTCAGGAAAGATACACCTGAGAGAGTAAGAGGTTTTCCGGAATGTTTCTATGCTTCTGGCCCACACACTGTCATTCAATAGCATTTTCCCCTCACATTTAGTGTGACCCATGGATGGGGCTACAAAGACTCATTAGCATCCTTGCCTTTAGAAAGCACTGGAATCAATCCCTCCACAAACATTTGCAGAGCACCTACTATGCACAGGCACCCCTCTGGAAGTAAGATTTAGCCCTGGTGAAACAAACCCCTCCTTGGAACTTGCATTCCAGTCGAGGAAACAACAAAAGCATCTTTCTGCAAACGGAAAGGATATGGGGAGCAGAGGCACAATGCATCTGGTAGGTGGCCAGTCACCTAAGAGGCCACTGCCTGCCGCCATCGCATTTCTTTAGAAAGGTGGCTCCCACTGCAGGCTACTGTGGATGGAGGTGCTGGTTCTTTTCCTTCTTAATTTGTCTGTAAGCCTGATTTGGATCATTACCTAGAGGATATCATTCACCATTGTCCTGAAAACATTCCCAGTGGCTGCCATGCTTCCTCTCATCCAAGGGGCCAGCAGAAAAAGGCAGTCACGGGGACCTTGGAAACATAGTGTTACTCCAACTCCCATCTACCTAACTCCATAGCACAAGGTAAAATAATTTAATTTTATGTTTGTATGTCCCTTGTGGTTTTAATCAAAGCCACCCTATGGACATTTAAAATCTTTTCTGAAATGGGAAGAGTAACAAAAAAAAAGAAGTCACTTATTTAAATAGAAGTCATTACCCTCCTTATATACAAAACTGAACAGCATTAAGTGTGGTAAAAGAATGTAGAAACTTACTTACGGGTCAAAAGTTTTGAAAATCATCCCTCTCGCCCCCCACCCCCCAAAGGTAGGCACATACGAGTACAACTTTTGTAGACAAAGGGGAACCACAGATCTGCTGAAGCCTTTTGTGTCCCCTTGTCCCCACCCCCATACTGCCCTAGGATTATGACTTCCTAGAGCAGAGGTTAGCAAACTTCTTCCATAAAGAGCCAGATTGTCAAATTTTTCAGCTCTGCAGGCTATACAACCTCTGTCACAATGACTCAACTCTGTCCTTGTTGCTGGAAAGCAGCTACAGTCCATAAGTGAATAAATGTCCATGGCTGTGTTCCAATAATACTTTATGAACACAGAAATTTGAATTTCTTATATTTTCATGTGTCATGAAGTATCTTGATCTTTTTTCAAACATCAGAAAACGTCAACCCACTCTTAGCTTGCAGGCCCTACAAAAACAGTGGGTGGGCTGGGTATGGCCCACAGACTACACAGTTTGTCCCCGAGTGTCAGTACAGGCCCAGTCCTTGTTTGTAGCACCAGGGCCCAGCACAGGGCCAAGCCCTAAATAATCGATCAAGAAGTAGGTATTTGTCTAGTGGCGGCAACACGCAATGTCGAGAAGAACACGGGAGTGGAAGTTAAGAAACGTTCTGATTCCGTCTCGGCCTTCATTTCTGTGTGAACATCACAATCTCTCTGGACTCGATTTCCTTGTCTGCAGAACAGAGTGTGCTACTAGATTTATAAAGTCCCTTCTACCTGTGAACTGCTACGGTCCTTCATTTACAACAAGGTAGGAGAAAAGTGTATCCATCCATGAGCAGGTCAATATGGAGAGCCAACTATGTACAGGAGCTCACACAGGTGAGGGAGAAACGTGAGGTATGGCAAGAGGAGGAGCATGTGGGTAAAGCATGTATCTGAAAATCACTAGCAAGTTGGCAATTTATTGTCCAAAGGGAACCCCGAATATCAGCTTAGGTCCCTCTGCACGGCTACAGGCCTAAGGCAAAACCTGCTGGATGCACCACAGCAAGGTGGTTAGTGTCTTGGGTGAAAGTTTCTCTTCAGAGGAGAACAGCTCCCCCAAACAAACCAACATCATTTTGTTTTGGTTTATATTACTCTAGTAAGCATTGGTTGAGGTATAGAGATAATTACAATAATGCAACACAGAGGGCAAGGAGACCATAAGAAAAGAGCTTACGAGGTGAACGAGGAGCAGGGAAAGCACACTGCTCCTGACACTGGGGACAGAGGGGACAGCAGGGGTGCTGACACGGATAGATGGAGCTCGCAATGGGGCAGGTGAGGGCTGAGCAGACACGCTCAGGAGAATACCTCTAACTAAGACAATGGTGTGTAATGAGACTGGCCACTGGGTTCCATTCTTGGATGGGAGCTGTCAAAAGGCAGGCAGCACCGGGAGCAATTCGAAAGCCGTGGCAGGTAGGAAATCAGCAGGGCCCAAAGCAAGGGACGGCGAGTGGAGCTCTCTAACAGAATGCATTCAAGCTGGTGGCTGGCTAGGCATGGGACAGTGGAGGAAAGGAAGCCGTTTGTGCTAACTCCCAAGTGCGCTGTCCCAGAAGATGTGGAGGCCATGGCACAACCAACTAGGCTGTGGAAGCCAGAAGCAGGGGTGAAAACAAAACAGAAAATACCACCCATGCTGAGCAAACTCCCACTCTGAAAAGGGACAATGGGATCTGAACAGCTGACTATTTGCAGAGAAACAAACCCAAGTCCCGAAGGCTCTACTAGGTAAACCCTCATTAAAAGGCATTTCTGTTATTTAAATGGGTTAGCAAAATAAGGATCATGCCTTCTACTCAATACTGGTCACAGAAAATTCAGATGGATTCGTTAACATGAGACTGAGTGTCTAAGACAGCGGTTCTCAACCTTCCTAACGCGACCCCTTAATACAGTTCCTCATGTTGTGGTGACCCCCAACCATAAAATTATTTTCGTTGCTACTCTATAACTGTAATTTTGCTACTGTTATGAATCGTAATGTAAATATCCTTTTGTTTTCCGATGGTCTTAGGCGACCCCTGTGAAAGGGTTGTTCGACCCCCAAAGGGGTCGCGACCCACAGGTTGAGAACCGCTGGTCTAAGATGTCTAACGGTAGGTGGCTTCAGAAAGATACTTCCTGTAAAAAACACATTAACTATAACCTATTTAGAGTGAGATGTGGTTTCAATCAAGCGAACATTGTAGTACAGTTTGTGGGTGGCAAATTAAATAGAGATAGCTAGTGCTGACTTAAGAGATAAATCCCAAAGGCTCCAAGAAAGAGGAACTGGCAGGATCTCTCAGAGCTTACAGCAGACAGCTGCTGGAAACAGACCGCAGATTCCCCGCCCCTAGAGAGGACCGCCACGTAGGAAGGAGCACCCATGGCCCTGAGAAACCACCAGGCATGTGGGGGACCAGTCCGTGGTCATCCACACAGACAACGCCCACAGAGCCACTCACCTGAACACTCACCTTTTCCGTTAACGGCTAATCCCGTGGCCATGGCTGCAGTCACGGTGCCAGGCACCTGAGGCACTAGTGGGTGTATTCGGGGTCTGCTCCCCATTCTTGCTCGCTCTGCGCCAGGGCCCAATAAAGCTCCGACAGGCTTTTCGGCTGTCACTTCAGGCGCGACTGTGTCCTCCTGAGCCTGATCAACGGGGTCCAGTTTCTCGGGGCTCTCACTCTGAAAGCCGTCCACTGCGGTCCTGCTCTTAATGGGACTCTTAGGCACAAGGATTTTTATACCTGATTTTGCGAGGTCCATGTTCTTCCGGTTTGAGAGAGATGGAGCTGTGTTTTTCCTGAACTTCTGGCTGGCGGCAAATAACTGACTGTTTTTGGATTCGTGGTCTTTACCGATCACTAGTGATTTGGGAGAGGTCTTAGAAAAGTTGCTGTTGGTGGATCTGGAAATCTGTTTCCTAGCGTTGTTTGGGGAGGTCCTATTTGTTCTGGTTAATGTGCTTTCCTTCTGCTTTTCAGTGTGGTGTCTATTAAAATCATGAATATATTCCTCACAGTTCACAAGATGCTGTTCTGGTTCCCAAGTGTCGTCCTCACTCTCATAGCCTTTCCACCGAACCAAATATTCTGTCTTCCCTTTTTTGTTTTTCCTTTTGTCAACAATCCTTTCAACCTGTTTATAAAAGAAAATAAAAAAAGTATATGTATATATAAAAAAATGCAAGTTTAATAACAAAACATCAAAAATAATAAAAACCACAATAAATAATGAAAACGATCTTCTCTTCCCCAAGCCAAATCATCTGAAAATAGAAATAGTAACACAACATTTGGGATTTTAGCAATTTCCTTGAAATTAAGTCAAACAAAATGCTAAAATGTTAGGCTCAGAGTATACGAATGTGCATTAGGTAGGGTATGTTTTTGTGATTCAAAGGAGGCTCTTGTCTTATTTTTACGTTAAACCCTGACCACCTGAGTTGGTTTCCACAGTCAAACTGGAACAGCACTGGTCATTCCCAGCCCTCTTAGCCTGATCATCCTTAGGTTACCAGGAGCAGACATTCAAGCGAAGGCTTAGGTGTGGTAAGTGCAGCTGGCTACGCAGGGCTGAGAGCCTCCTGAGGTGTGGAATGGGCTCACTGAGGAAACACAGCTGCTGCTGCCAGTATCCTTTAGAAGCACTCTGTTAACAGGTCAACAGAAAATATAATGGTTCATTGGTAATAAAAGTCTAGAATGGTCAGGTTATTTACCTTAAATCCTGGTTTTAATTAATTTTACACTGACATCTTTAAAGGAAGATGTTAATCTTTAAATTTGATGATCAATACATCCCACACCAAATTTATGAATTCACACTTCTCCACAAAATGTTATCACTGTAACAAATTCGACTACCTTAACATCCTAAGTGTAAATGGAAAATCTTCTGTAACTCACATGAACAAAATACATCTCACAGAATGTCCCCCATGTTTTTGGAGAAATACTTAGAATCTGTTATCTCCCTAGTTAACATAAAAACCATTAGCCTGCTTCCCCAATGGTAGCATGCACCTCTGTACCTTGTATATAGAAGACTACAGTCATAAAGCTCCTTAATTAACACGTTAAGCGCCAAGCCTGTTTTGTCTTCCTTTCCATTTAGCCCGCGATATCTGATTTCACCGATAGGCTTTCTCTTCAGTCAGTTGTCTATGGTTCGTGTTCCAGTGCAGTTTAAAAAATTTTTTCTTTACCCATAACAGTGACAATGTCAGAAGAAACGTGTGAAAGTGACTCAAGTGAAATTAGTTTTCCTAATAGAAGAATATAATTTTTTAAATTGTATATCGTCAGTCACCAGTGACTGATGTGGTCCAAATGGAAAGTATAGTGTCAGTCAATGGTGACTGACATAGCGCTTAACGTGTTAAGGACACAAAGGTCTACACCCATCAATTATCAAGAACATCAATAAATTTCTGGCTAAGTTAAAGTGTAGACCAGATGACATAATAGTGTATCTAGTTCCAGAACAGATGCTAATTGAGTACAACTGTAGACACTTTTGAAGAAGGGTAAAATATCTCACCCCATCATTTCCCCTACTCTAAAAACAAAACCAAACCCAAACTCTCCAACATCTCTACCTGGGATATAGAGAATTAGAGCCCTTAACTACAGAAAGCCTAAAATTAAATACACATTATTGCTCCCATTCAAAAAGGATTAAGGGTAAAAAAGGCCTTGTTTCAGCAGAGGGCAGATTTCATGCCTAACAGATCTCCAGAGTCTTAAGTAATGTGAGACCTGCATATTCAAGCTTTACAAGTGATATCTCCCTACCCCCACCCCAGCTCTTTTGCTTGTGAAGAGTCATTTATATGGTCATAAGTATTTTGATTTAGGTAAAAAAATGTGCTTTTGGAAAATTCCATGCAAATCAATTTCATGGCAGGAATAATAAATGTTTTAAATACAAGGGCTAAAGAGATTCTCTCGTAAGATAAAACTATGTTTAATATTTATTTTCTTTCTAAATCAAATTCCATTCCAGAAACAAAGTACAGTAAACCAAAGCACCCCTTTTTCCTTTCTTCCATTTCCTGAAAACTGAAGCTGGGTCTGCTGAAGTGCTTGAGTGTCTTTGCCCTCTTTTCCTTGTCTCACTGGTTCTTCCCCTCCAGGATGGCTACACCCCTGGAAACTTCACTTGCCGCCACCGCTCCCCCACAACCCAAACACACACGCCAGTTCCCCACAACAGCTACTTGTACCCTCCTCAAGACACCTAGAGGAGGTACAATAGGGACCAGCTCAGCAGCTGTGGGGGGTGCATGTGCTGTTTTCTGTATATCCAGTGGCCAGACTTTGTTTAGACACTGAAAAAGGTAGTAAGAGCAGACATATTAGATCAGGGGTTGGCAAACTTTATGTAAAGGGCCAAATGGGCCACTGGTCTGCCAGCCACTC